CACAGCCGCAGCCACAGCCGCAGCAGGTCCAAGGGCCCCTGTACCACAGTGGCCAAGGTCAGAAGCCCATCCCCAAACCGGTCCAAAATGTCCACAGAGACTCGCAAAGCTGCTCTCCTGTCCCGATTCAGCGACGCCTATTCCCAGGCCCGCCTGGACGCCCAGTGCTTGCTGCGGCGTTGCATCGACAGGGCAGAGACGGTGCAGCGGATCATTTACATCGCCACAGTGGTAAATGCAACAGATGCAGCTGGACTTCGGGTCCTTGGGGCAGTGGGAGATTGATTGCAAAGTGAATGGTGCAACCATAAAAGGCTGGTGCTTCCTGAGTCACCAGGGAGAGGGGGATTCCAGACTCCCTATCTGTCCTCTGCCTCCCTTCCTTCTCATGGTTTTATTATATATACTCAGAAGCTATTTGTTGTTTCATGACTGCGAATTATCATATCTACTAACATTTATGTTGACCAGACATTTATTGCAGTGTCCATCACTCAACACAGGACTATCTCAAATAGGACTATGCTAAATTGACTGATAGTGTACCTTTTGCAGTATGTGACTACATGAGCAAGCACACAGTAGGGCTTTTATTCTAAATGATTATTACTTATTTGTCTTCTCCCAGCCTTAGAAAACTAGAAGATGAGTTCACTCACTCTTCTGCCTAAGTTATTTATGAGTTACTAAAGCTGCTATTTGAGTACTGCAAATAAAAATGGTATATAAATATAACCCTTGGTTTCCAAAGTGAAAATACTTGTCCTATGAGTAGATGCCACCTTGAGTTCCATTACAAGAATAAACATGAAGAAACGATTCAAAACATCATGCTAGTGTGAGTGCAGACATATCAGAAATCCTGGATTTGTTTATGTCAAAGGTCAGCAGACTATGTATATGGGCCACATCGGGCTTGTTTCTAAAACACTGCCCAGGAGCTAGCAATGAAGAATGGCTTTATACTTTTAAAGGGGTGTGATAAAAGAAAATAACCAATGATGGAAATGGTAGCTAGTGAAGCCTAAAGCATTTAACTTACCAAGCTCTAGTTCATGTCACTAAGAGTGATTTGGTTAAAGCTGCTTTGTGATTTGGTTAAAGCTCGAGAAATGAAGTTTTAGGAGTGTTACCACATAACAAGTATGGGATAAAGGCTTGTTGAGTTTGTAATAGAAATCTGGAACAGATTGTTTTCTCTTAACGTGTTGACCAGTACCATGGCTGGTCTTATATCCTTGTACTTATATCCTTAGGTCTGCTTTTGGCACCCAGAGTTACCAATACAATGTTCACTTATCTTAAAATTATCACTTGTCTTAAAATTAGCGTGTTATCATGTATATTTCTACAAATGTTTTTACATTGACAGTCATATTATCTCACAGGTCAAAACCATGTTTGGTCAACCATGTTATATGAACACTGGTTTGGTGTTGCACTCTGAATCCTTCCTAATTCCTTTCTTTGAGCCTTTCCATCTCCTGTCCTCATCAGATAAACTTGCTGTGTTTTCATGTACAGGAGGCATTTCACGTAGCTAAAATGTCGTTCAGGCATTTCAAGATCCGGGTGAGGAAGATGCTGACACCATCGAATATGGGGACAAATGACTTTGAGAACGCAGTCATGGACTACATCGTTTGTCATCTTGATCTATATGACGCTCAAGGCAGTGTTAATGTAAGTGTTGGGTCTCTTTTGAGGACTAGCATGTGACTGGTGATGACATATAGAGTACTGATAACTTAGGAATCCACCTGTTGTTGGTTTTATGGCTGTGTGGTGGAAGAAAACAACAACATTCAATTTACTCTGCACCACTAGTCTTTATTAGCTGCTTTTCTTTTTGTATGTCTGAAATGGTGTGTGTATGTGGGTGTGCGCACACGTGCGTGCTGCATGTGTCTGTGAGTGTGTGCACACATCTGTGGAGGCCAGAAGTTGACACTGGGTATATCCCTTGATCACTCTCTGATTACTAAGGCAAGGTGTTGGGCTTGCCAATTTGGGTACGTTAGCTAGCCAGGTTGGCCAGGGAACCTCCAGTCTCTGTCTCTTCAGGGCTAAGACAGTCACCCTGAATTTATGTGGGTGTGGGATTTGAACACAGGTCCTCATACTTGTGGTAAACGCTTTACACACTGAGCCATCTCCTTAGTTTCTTACCCAGATGTCCTGTGGGGAAATGTTCTGAGTTTTCTACTCACATCCTTTAGGTGGGTCTTTGAGATTGGGAGTTGAAATATTTTGGTTCTTAAGAGCAAGAACACTGGGAAATGAATATGGATTTGACCTTGACTTTGCTATGTGACTACTGTGTTGTCTTCCATTTAAACTCTCAGTAGTCTGGTTTCCTAATCTCTGAAAGAGGGCGCCAGAGATCATTATCCCACAGAGTTTACTGGGAGGGTCAAGGAAAGGAGGCAGGCCACTTGTCTAGCACAAGACTTGGTGCATAGTAGACACTTAATAAAGGCAAGCTATTTTACTCATTCTATAGTATAACATGGTGAGGTGATATATTATTTATGAATTAATGAAGATTGCCTGAAGGATCAGAATGCAAAACTAGCCACACTAATTAGTTATAGAAGCTGGGCAGTGATGGCACACACCTTTAATCCAAGGACTCAGAAGGCAGAGGCAGATGGATCTCTTTGAGTTCAAGGTCACCCAGGGCTACATTAGAGTGAATCAGTCTAGAAGAGAAACAGCTTATGTCCTTAATCCCAGCAGTAGAGAGTATATAAGGAGCTCAATGTAGTCTCACAGAAGTCTAGGATTCTGAGGCTTGGTGGAGAGCAGTGGCATCTGGAGACATAATCTGAGGTTCAGTGGATGGCTCCTTTGGTCTGAGAACTGTCTAGTGGCTGGATGCTTTGATTCTCTCATCTTCAGCTTGAACCCCAATATCTGTCTCTGGCTTTATATTATTCATGCTACAGCAGGGGACTAGCCAGAGTCTTTGGCTGGCATCTCATACATTTATTCACAGAAGGAAAATCATGAGGGAAGATGGCTCAGTTGGTAAAGTGCTTGTCGTGGAAGCATGAATACCTGAGACACACATAAAATCTGGGTGAGGTGGCACACATCTGTCATGCCAGCATGAGGAGTCAGAGACAGGCAGATCTCTGGGACTCATTGGCTGGCCCGACAGCCTACCTAAATCAGTGCACTCCAGGTTCAGCAAGAGACCCTGTCTCAAAAAAAAAAAAAAAGATTGAGAGCAATAGAGGAAGACATCCATCATTAACCTGTGGACTCTACATGTGTGCACACGTTCATATGAACCCTGACGTCCCCCCACCCATGAACTAATAAACACCATGGGCCTCTTTAGATTTTAAGAGGGATTTTTCTTGCTTGCTTCTGGTATGTTTTCTTCTTCCCCAGGATCCTCTCCTCATAGTACACCCACACCCTTTTCTGAATTAACTTATTGTCATTCATGTGTCCATTCCCATTCAGTCACAATGGTGTTGGGAGTCCTCTGGATGTCAGAACTTCTTGTCACAAATTGGCAGCCAACTGATGCTATCATTTGCTTTTCAGGATGTCATCCGTGCCATGAACGTCAACCCCAAGATCTCATTCCCTCCTGAAGTTGACTTCTGTGTCCTTAGTGACTTCATCCAGGAGATATGCTGCATTGCTTTTGCAATGCAGTCCTTAAATCCACCGCTTGACATCGCGTTTGGGGCCGATGGAGAAGTCTTTAATGACTGCAAGTAAGAGACACAGGAGCAGCTGCTAAAAGATGCTCGCTCTCTGCTCCCTGGGAGGATGAAGGGGATAGAACCCTGGGTAGAGAAATCAGTAGCTACTCCTATGCCATGAGTTTCTCTGTACCACTGTCTGTTCCTGCTAGTGGGCTCATTCTTCACTGAATGTATTAGCTTTGGGGAGACCTAAGGAGTTGCCTGGAGCCTTTGGTAGTAAAAAAATGCATTCTGTGAATACAAGCACAGTTAAAATTTTATTTTTATTAGTTTTATTATGTGTGGTATACACATGTGTGTGCACATGTGTGCAGATGGATGCTCCTGTGGAGGTCAAAGGTTGACTTTCAGAGACACCGATTCTTAACTGCATAATTTAGACCAGGTCTCTCAGAGTGTGGTGTGTGCACCACCAACCTCATTTGTTAGGGATGCACACAGCTGCACCACAATGTGTCTGTTTTCTGCTGTGGTTCCAGCATGGGGCTTGGGAGGCTGCAGATCATAAACAGCAAGCACATTCCATGCATACTGAAGTGCTGGACTCTTGTCGAGAACCATTAGATGTTACCAAATTTCACATGGTGAATAGTCCTCTAATAAACCACATGAAGTTGAAATAACCTGGAACATTCATTGAGATTTGGCAAGACCTTAGCTATAGCTGGAGATGACCAAGCTAGTGGTTAAGAAGGCCAGTTCTGGCCTCAAGCTGCCTAGATTTGATTCCTGGCTCTACCTATCCACCATGTGATCTTGAGTGTATTGTGTTATATATGTGCTATTGGTATATATATTTTTTCTGTTCTTAAGTTTTCTTCTCTTTCTAGGGGTGGGGGCTAGCTAAGCTATATCAGATGGAGCAGTGAGGGTGATGCCAGGCGTGTAGTGAGTGCTCAGGAATATGACTCTGGGTCTTCCTCTTAGTCATAGGTCAGGATAGGTAGCTGTCCAGCATTCCTGCAAGCTTATTGATGGAGGGAGACCACACATCTTTCTCTCACCACAGGAATGAGCTTTCTGGTTGGGGTGATACATGCTCTTGATCTTTCCTAGTGTCTTTTAGGTCATTGTTCCCAACAAATATCCACTCCAGAATGGATGCTTGAACATTGCCCTGCAGTTGGGTCTTTTTCCTATACAGAGATTCTTACCATCTTCCATCTTTATTTCTTTCTTCTTTGGAATATGGCTATCATCACTCAGATGGTCACCCACTTTGGTTTGTGGACAACTGTTGGGTGTCTCTGTCACATGTTTTTAACCAGAGATAACATACTTGTGTGCCTGGATGGCTGGCCACTTGAAATTAGAGTTCCTAACTGTGATTGAATGTGATTCTATTGTCTCTCTCTGTCTAGAGGTCCCTGTCTGTTGAGTCAACCAGCCAGGGGTTTAAAATAACCAGGGAGAAAGTCTGAATATGTTTTTTCTTTGTCACCCTCTAAACAGTACATAATAATAATTGTCAATATCTTATTTACACTCTATTAGGTATTTCTAAGTAATCCAGATGTGACTTAAAGTATGCAGGAAAAGGTCCACAGATTATATAAAAATGTAACAACATTTTCTATCTATCTATCTTCTATCATCTGTCTATCATGTATTTATTTATAGTCAGTCTTACTACATAGCTAGCTACATACATACTTTACATTCTGGAGGCAGAGGCAGGTGGATCTCTGTGAGTTCAAGACCAGCATGGTCTACAAGAGATAGTTCCAGGACAGCCTCCAAAACAATACATAGAAACCTTGTGTCAACAAAACAAAACAAAACAAAACAAAAATACCCCAGCAGCAGCAACAACAAAAAGACTGACTTTAAACTCAATCCTGCCTCAGCCTCTAAGTTTGCTGAGCATTTTCTAGGCTTGCAACTCTTATAATTCTGAGAAGACTAGAGGTGGGATGAAGTTTGCTGACATGTTCTTAGCAAGTCTGTGCCAGAGCCACCTGTTTCTGGTTTCTGTTCTGAGAGTACATGTCCATCTCCTTAACCATAGAATGAGGATCTGAGCCCTGTTTAGATCGAAGCCTAGTCAAGAATGAACTTTTCAGTTGGGTTCAGTTAAGCTACAATACACTTAGCTTCCAGCTGGTGGCCATACCCCAGTGGGAGAGTGCATACTTAGAATGCACAAAGTTCTTGGTTTGATCACTACTATGGAAAAGCAGTTTCTTACTATCTTTGTTCTCTTATGCATTCCCACAGGTACCACCGCAGCTATGACTCGGATTTCACTGCTCCCCTGGTCTTTTATCACGTGTGGCCTGCTCTCATGGAGAATGACTGTGTCATTATGAAGGGAGAAGCTGTCACCAGGAGAGGGGCTTTTGTACGGTGGCCTTGCATAGTGACAATTCATCCCCTGTGTTTGATTCACAAGTTCGAGAACATTTATAAACCCAAAGATTCTATAAAAAGAAGTTGATAGAGTTGTTTGATAAGATTTCATACAAAGGAGAAGGAAAACCAGCTGTCTGTTTTTTGGACTGTCCCATAATTCCCTGACAGCGATTTTATTGCTGCTCTTCTGTCTAAAGATGGAGTTATCCACATCTCATTTATTTTTTTAAGTCTTGGAGATATTTTGACATTCCTAATTCTCCATTTGGGGAAACTGTGCATGTATCCCATTTTCTCTCCTTGGTATGATGTATAGATAAGGATGGTAGAAAATGGGGCAGAGGATGGGGAGAAAGGAGCCTCTTGGCTTTGGAAGGGGACTTCCTATAGCTCTTGGTTATAGATGGTTTGAACATCTTAAAAAATTGCCTAGCCTTCCAAATGGAGTGTGTGTGTGTGTGTGTGTGTGAGAGAGAGAGAGAGAGAGAGAGAGGAGAAGAGAGAGAGAGAGAGAGAGGAGAGAGGAGAGGCACTTTGAGGCTGCACATAGTAGGGGAACTATAGCTTCCCCTACTAGGGGAACAGAGAAGTTTATTTAAAAAAAAACTTAGAATATTGGTGTTTGTTTTACAAGTTAAAAATCCCATTATAGTGAAAACTATCTCCACAAAAACGTTTTGTGTTTCAAAAGCTGAGCTTATCAAAATTGGATTTTGTCTACCTGACGACACATGTGCTCTCCAATGAGTATTTTCATAAAACAGGATTCTTACCCTTAGCACTCTTTGTTAGAAAATTTTAACTACTGGAGTGCAGTTTGGAAGGGAGGGAGGCGACTTGGCCACAGTTTTATTGCTCATGTCAAGTAGCTATTGTCTCTGGATCTTTCTCTCAGAGGCACACTTGGACTTGCTCTTTTTTGTCAACACAATTAAAACAGCACACCTACCATGAATTTGGTGCATAATTTTCTTCATATGGACTCAGTAGCTGTCCAATAGAGGCCTTTCATGGTGTTCAGTGAGACTCGTTTATTCTGTAGAATGTATGGCATCAGTGCTCATTTACATGGCAGATACTTAAAGTGAACAACCAGCCATGAATCGCAAATGGGATGTCTAACAGTTGACCCATGAAAATACTTCCCCAAACACCAGAAAGCGCATTCCCTCAAGTTCATTGTGATGGGATTCTGCTGGAGAAGTTCTTGCCAAACACTGTGATGCAGGAAATAACAGGAGTGTTGCTCACACTGGTGTCAAGGGGACGTGCCGTCCTGTTGGTAAAGTTGGTGGTAAACTGTATCTACTTTCACAAACTCACGACTCTTTCTCTGCCTCTTTTTCTTAGTGGAGTTCTGTGCGACCTGTAACACGATGCCGCAGCAGGAGTTTAAGTCCCATCTGCCCTCGTAGCCGCATTGGAATAAGCACGGTACATTCCTGTCTAATCATTTGTGCAGGAAACCTAATACATTGATGCTTTCCTGTGAAAGCAGTGATTTCAGGTAGAAAGAGAAACTAAGCCCCTAAGTGATTCTTTTTGTAGTTGTTTTTCTCATCACCATAGCTAAGAAATTTAGCATTCTAGAAAGAAATGGAAGTGCTTCCCTTTTTAACTTTCCTGCTTTGGTCTTTCAAGGAATAAAAGACTTATTTAAAAGTTTTATTCTTTTTACCCTTGAACAGGCTGTTAGAGAACAGACAGCTGGACATGGGACATTTGAGTCATAGATCTGAACACAGGTCCCTGGTTTTTATAGAAATTAGTACATGAATTTGGAGGATTTACTTAATCTAGATTGAAATATTTTCTAAAGGGCAGCTAAAGTATCAATTTGTCCCCAAATTCAAAGTAGAATAGATTAAATTAGTTTCTTTGTTTATTAATCCTTGGAAAGATTACTAATCTATTTAAATTAAAAATAACATAAAACATTTCTGAAAACTCTATTTGCTTCCCTAAAAATATCACAATGACTCATCACTGTTAGTTTACTCACCAAGTAGCATTTAGTTAACACCTGTCGACTGTGGGGCTGGACCAACATAGACAGGCTACCAGATCTACCACTCCTTCAGGTGGAGATTCTATATTTATTTGAGCTTGTTCTCAAGGACAGAGCAGTGAAGGAGAATTATGGGTAGCAATATCTCACATCTCCCAACTGCCTCTGGCAATGTGGTGGCAGAGCTACCTCTGCAGAACCACAGAACAGCCCAGTAATAACTCAGACCCAACATCATGGCTGAGTATTCCTCCAATAGGTTCCTTCTTAAACAACTCAAAGGCCAGCTCTGTGTGGGGAGGCAAAAAAACAGCCAAATGCAGTCTTCTCCATGAATGGGTCACCATATGGGACGGTCATTGTAATTTGAACAACTTAGCTGGATGATCATGATGCAGATCAAGTTGAGAGGTCCATGGTTGATGTGGTGTGATATAGTCTATACTATAAAAACCTGGAGGTGGTGAGCAAACAGCATGGAAGCCACAGATGAGGAAAACCACATAAGAAGTGCAAGGGAAGTGAAGACCCACAATGGACACAGTCCTTTTGCTCTTGGAGATTTTATAAAACTTAATTACATAAATGAATAAGTATGTTCAGGAGGTCAAAAAGAGGACCATGCATTTAGTGACCTGATAAATAAAAAGGGAACCTTGGGAGCATCATGATGGGATGCCTCCCTGTCCCAAGAAGAAATGGTGTGTCACAGGGGAGAGCAGTTGAGACTAATATAGTAGATAGTTCTCCAGCCATGGGGCCTTGAACTCTGGATTCTCAATAGAGGTTTTATTCAAGGGGAGTGTCCCCTGCACTGAGTCCTGAGACATGTCTGAACTCCCTTCTCTATCATTCTACCCCCAGAGAGAGCAACATAAATTCCAGTGTAGATGAGGACATAAAATATATTCTCAAAGATGAAACTGAGCCAACTTCCCTTCTCTGCCTATCTCTCTCTCCCTTCAACAAGGGTAGGAACCTCCAAGATGAAACATAATTACTTTGGTTGGTCTGTCTTTGGGGTATGATTAAGGTCATGACTCCCACAGAACAGATTCCAGTTTGGACAGTATCTATCTACCTAACACGTTTGAGAGTTCACAAGAGGACATGGGTGTGTACCTGGTGTCAGATGTGAAGTCACAGTGTGGTAGTTTCTGCTTAGGGAAGGTAATGGTAAGATTTGAAAAGCATTCTTTTGTGGGTGCTCAGACTTTGCTTAGTAGGGCAGGGTTTGGACACATGAGAACTTTTATAAAGAGATTTGAACTTGTGGCATAATTTTAACTCTTACTATGTTAAAAAGTTTCTCTTCCACTAAGCCATTAAATCTGTCATGATTTTAGCTCTTACTAATTATGTTAAACATTTTCTCTTCGCTAAGTCAATATAATTTAAACAGAATTGGATGTGCATTTTACTTAAAAAGCCTGGGAAGACTCACGGGGTGCAGTGCCTCAGAGCAACTAACTGGCTAGCTTTTGTTTTATCTTATTATATTTTATTTTGTTAGGGTTTGTTTTATCTCTCAGAAGAAGCTGTTCCTCTTATTTCTTTTTTTTAAAAGAGCACTTACTGCTCTTTTTAAAAATATTAATTTATTTTATGTATATGGCGCTCTATTTGCATCTATGCCTGCATGACAGAAGAGGGAACCAGATCTCATTACAGATGGTTGTGAGCCACCATGTGGTTGTTGGGAATTGAACTCAGGTCCTCTGGAAGAGCCGCCAGTGGTCTTTTTTTTTAAAGTTTTTTGATTCAATTTTACATTCCAACCACAGTTCTCCCTCGCACCCCTTTTCCAGTCCCCTTTACCTCTTCGAACTGCCTCTCACCTCCCCCCTCCAGCAGCCAGTGGTCTTAATTGCTGAGCTAGTTTTAAGAATCACCCATGTCCAAGTAATCTGTCCTCTGAGCTCTGTATATTGTTTAATTCACATTGCTCTTCCATATTTTCAGATGTCTCGAAGTCGGAGTCCTTCTCCAATAAGATGTACATTGCCAAGTAAGTGAGATAGTCAAGACAGAGCGAGTTCTGCTTTTTAAATATCCTCTGTATTATGACACAGTTTGGAGCAAAATGATGATTCTTGGGGAATAACTTTCCGTTCCAATTCACACCATTCATTTCATTGGTGGTGCCTGGGCTGCTCTCATTAGTTATAGAAGAGCAATCTCCATGAAGGGATTTAACTGCTATGTTCCTTCTCATTTAAGCACCTCTGAAGGATGTGCAAGGAGGTGACCATAGTAACGAGCTGTTTATTTTTCTCCCTAGGATACTAAAGCCACCAGCCACGTTCGCTTGCCACAGTCCATTGAAACAGTCCATCGAAACAGCCAGCTTCCTCAGTGCCTCCACCCACCTGCCTTGTCTGCCTCCGATATCACTTAACATGAAATGAAAAGGCAATTCTGTGTGTCACTCCGCACAGAGTTTAATGCTTTGGTTCAGTGCCTTTGTAACTCTAGATCCATAGCAGTTCCTTTTATTTTGTAGGGGAAATTTCCATTCATTTCATAAAAAACAATGATATAGGCATATAGGATGATATTCATTTGAACAAAGTCCATCACAAAGGTAGAGACTTCTCCCCCTAAGTACTGGGGATCTTTCAGAGCAACTCTAGGAGTGAAAGTAGAAGTCATTGTCTAGCTGAGTCCCAAAGGAAGGACAAGTGCTTTTATTTACAGATCAATCATAAATGCTCTCGTTGTTAGCATCAGCTTTAGCTCCCTGAAACCACAGTGTCAGTGCCTGATCCCTTCTTAGGGCTTCCAAGGCATTGGTAGCCTCAGGCTGGGAAACTCCTCCCAGTAACCCTCACTTCAGGGTACACGTAGACAATAAGAAGATGTCAATTTGAAAGGATAGAACAGTTTGCTTGCTTCTCTCTTTGCACTTTAGCTAAATGTCAGAGCTACTAGGCTTTCTGTTTTCTATTTTTCTCCCTCCCTCCCCTTCCTTCTTTTCTTTCTCTTTTTGTACATAGGTGCCATTTAATCAGTTCAGATCTGGACACTTTAGCTTCAAGAGTTTTGACTTTTAATAAACTGTTCAGTAAAGAATGGGCAAGGGCCATCCTTGAAGATCAAATTAAAACACTAAGTTCTGAGTGCTCCCAGTGTGGGAGCCCAATAGTGGGCCATTCTTGATTACATTTCAACTAAAAGCCAGTGTTATCTAACTTAGGGAGCTACAGCATTCCTGAATGACCAACTGTGTGTTAAAACTGTGTAATAGTCACTTGTGTTGTGTGACAAAAGGTCTTACTTAAAACCTCACTAAATGCCTCTATATTGTAAGCCCCTCCTCCAAAGCCACATGTGTTATCTAATTTGGAAAAAAATAGTCCAGTTATTTGTTCTCAACCCTATCGGGCCACTTGCCATTTCTCAATCTTCTAATTTGAGCTTTGGCCACACAGTGAAAGCCAAATGGTGGAAAGCATCTTTTGGAAGTGTCCATGAACCCAGAGGAGGCTGGCCTGTAATCATGGCATCTGGGGGTGAGAGGCTGGAACACTCTTGTTTTGCACTCTGGGTCAGTGTGAGTTTTTGTGTTATTGCCCAGCACTTAATAATAAAATCACTGCAGAGTGCTAGACTCTGACATGCCTTTCTTCCAGATTCTCAGGTTTAGTGGTGGCCCCCACCTTCACTAACCCATGAAAGTGAACCACAATCACACATTCATCAAGTAAATACTGACTGTAGCCTGCCCCAGGTTGACTCAGAGAGTTGCAGCCCATGGGGAAGGCCAACTGATGGCTTTGTTTTGTCTTATTTGTAGCTCCTCTCATCTGTTCAGGAGACCCTGTGGACCCTGCTTAACTGTTTTCATTTACACCATTTCAGTGGCTTCCCACAATAGCTAGGCATGTCTGTGGCTCCTTACATAAGGAATGTTTTTCTTCAGTGAACTCTAGAGTCTTGTTCCAATGTCTTTTGCTTTAGAGTAAGACCCTGTCTCATTTTTTTCTGTTTCTCTTGGTACACAGCTCTGGTTGTTTGTTTGAGGGGAAAAGTGTGTGTGTGTGTGTGTGTGTGTGTGTGTGTGTGTGTGTGTGTATTCCTGGATTTGTTCTATAGTGCTGAGGATATAAATGTAGAGAAAGGGCAGGTTTCTATGGAGTTTAATGTCCCATCTAGCTGTATTCCTTGGTGATTTTCTTGTCATAAAGAGATGTGAATACATAAGAAATTAGAGCTGATGAAAGCTGAGCTTGTGGCATACAACTGCAACCTCAGCACTTGGGAGGCCAAGGCAGGAGGAGTGCCAAAAGTTTAAGGCCAGCTTGGGCTATTCAGTGAGTTCTAGGGCAGCCTGAGCCACCTAGGATGGCCTTGTCTCAACAAAAAGAAAAGGATACAGAGAAAGGCCCAGTAAATGTAGCAAAGAAACTTTTACATGCCAGCTTGAAAGATCTAAAATTACTATCAGGTAAATATATCTGCATAGAACAAAGCTGTGGGGCTGCCGGGAGAGCACCTCATCTGGGAGAACTCCTTCCAGGCAGTATAGTGCTTGCCGTTCATTGTAAGAATCTGAATTTGGATCTTAGCACCCGTAAGGCTAAGCATGACAGTACACCTCTTACCCCAGTGCTGGGAAGGTAGAGACAGGTCCACTGCTGCAGCTCCTGGTCCACCGTTCTAGGTAAACAGGTGAAGATTCATCTCAAAAATAAGGTGGAAGCAAAATGAGAAAGACCCTTGACGTTGATTTCCAGCCTCCACATTTAACATGTACGTATGTGCACCCACATCTGTATGCACACACATAGATGAGCACATCACACACACACACACACACACACACACACACACACACACACAGAGAGAGAGAGAGAGAGAGAGAGAGTGGGAGGCACAGGAGTGTTAGGAAAGGGAAGAGTAGACTAGTATGGTAAAATACACCAGAGAATAGACCTCAACTTACCTATAATCCTGGCATTGTTAAAGAAGCTAGTTTGAGACGGCAGAAGCAGTTCAGAGGACATCGGTTTGTAGGTGCCCAATAGCACAGCTGTTTGCTCGACCAGTTGTATCTCTAAGTTACAGGGCATTTGCTGATCGTTCTAATTTGCTTTTAGGCATACCATACATCCTGTTGCGGGCACAGTGCTGCCAGCATCATTCTGTAAGGCTAGAGTCGGTAGGAGATTTCTTAGTGGTAAAATTTCAGACATATAATTAAGGGTAAGATGTTATGGAACTTTAAAGAAACTAGAATTTACAAATGGCAATAGATCATGGAACTGTGAGCCCAGGAACACATGAATAAGTAAAATTTAAAATGGCATGTTAGCCCTAATACAGGAATGAGCAGTGGCCTTGAAAATACAATAGAAATAGCTTTCTCATTGCAAATGAAACGTAACTGGACAGTTTCACACTTGAAAAATACAGTCCAGCAGGGGTCAGCATGAACACACTTTCCATAGTATCACCAACAATTATCCACCAAAAACTGGGCATCTATTTGTCCTACTACTGGGTGAGTGACAGGAGAGTAGCAAGTGTGCATATTGCAGATTTAATTACAAAGTGGGTTATAGTACTTTTAGAATTTTAGAGTTGAAATGGTGTCTTAAAATATGTTGTATAGTGTACTAGAAAAGCTATTTAGTAGTTGGGCAATGGCCAGAAGATCTTGGGTATCACACTGTGAACCAAGTCCCTTAGTAACTCACTTCTTATGGTGGGAAACTGAGGCCCTGAGGTATTACAGGGGCCAAGTCCTGGGGCCCTGCCATAAGCCCTGTGGGTCATATGTGTGTGGTAGGATGGAACAAGGTTCCTTCGTTATCATTTGAGAAGCTTTTGCTGGTGTGTTAAAAGATATTCCAAGACCTTCAGGTGTTGGAGAGAGCTTTTAATGGAGTTCTTGCAGGGTAGCATTTTAGAAACCGTGCTCTAGGACATGTTTGTCTTTAGGATGCATTTTTTTTTCTTTTTCAGAATTAAATATGCTACTGACTATTGACGACCATTGTATTAACTTTTCCAAGTGAATGAGGTATCAGAGTGATGTCATCTACTAAACAGTCTGGCCTAGTCACTGAGCAGTGAGCACTATGGTGACAAGTGGTTCTACAAGGTTGTGTGTGTTGAAATTTAACACCCATCTTGAGGCATTGCGGGGGTGAAATCTTAATTCTTTTTTTTTCTTTTTTTAAATCATTTTTTTTATTTGAATCAGAAACAAGATTGATTTACATGACAATCCCAGTTCCCTTCTCCCTCCCGTCCTCCCCTACCACTCCCCCAAGTAAAACCCTACCTATCACATATCCTTTCTTCTATTCTTCCCCTGACTCAACCTTTCTGCTCCCTCATGACCTCTGCATCCTTCCTCTTCCATCCATCCTTCCTCTGCAGGCCTTCTAGGTGGGGTGTGATTCAGTTCTGGTGGCTGCAGAAGAGACATTTACACATGTTCTCACTATTTTCTACTGTGTGATGCTCTGTGCTGTCTGTGGACTCTGTTAGCAAGAAGGCCTTCACTCCATGTGTCCCTTAGACTTTGTACCTCCAGGACCTTAAGTCACAATGGAAGAGCAGTCAGTGCTCTTAACCGCTGAGCCATCTCTCCAGTCCCCTATGCTTGCTTTTACATTCCCTATCTTTACAACTTCATTTCTAATTTGTTTCTGGTTTTCTTCGAATTTCTCCCTTCCCTTGGGTTTCAGTTGCTCTTATCTCTTGGATACAAATCCATTTCCCCTTAAATATCAGCACCTAAACTTTGATGTAAGTATGAGTGAACCGAAGACAACAAATTTATATTCATATAATGCACTAATTTTACTGAATTTTCAAATAATTCCCAAGTTTAAAATTTAGGGCATTAAAAATCAACTCATTTAACCGGGCGTTGGTGGCGCACGCCTTTAATCCCAGCACTTGGGAGGCAGAGGCAGGCGGATCTCTGTGAATTCGAGGGCAGCCTGGGCTCCAGAGCGAGTGCCAGGACAGGCTCCAAAGCTACACAGAGAAACCCTGTCTCCAAAAACAAAAAACAAAACAAAACAAAATTGACACATTTAAAAAGTTAGTTATATGTATAATAAATCTGATCTATGGCTTTTCCCAACTCATTGAGTTCCATGAAAATATTAGCTTTTGACAAAAATATGTTTTGCACATCAGAGATTTATTCTTGGGTTTCCCTCAAAGCTTTCTAAGGGTCTCTGAGGGTGTTTGTATTAGCATGTCTTAGGGTTATCAATGTTGTGATGAATACCATGACCAAGCAACTTGGGAAGGAAAGGGCTTATCTGGCTTACACTTCCACATCACTGTTCATCATCAAAAGAAGTCAGAACAGGAACTCAAACAGGGCAGGAACCTGGAAGCAGGAGCTGATGCAGAGGCCATGGAAGGATGCTGTGTACTGGCTTGCTCCCATGGCCTGCTTTATTACAGAACCCAGGACCACCAACCCAGGGATAGCACCACCCACCATGGGCTGGGTCCACCCACACTGAACACTAATTAAGAAAATGCCTTACAGCTGGATCTTACGGAGGTATTTTCTCAATTGAGGTTCTCCCCTTTCAGATAACTCTAGCTTGTGTTAAGTTGACATCAAGCTAGCCAACACACATAAATAGGCAGGTTTGAAAAGACCAGGCTTTAGTAACCCCACAAATAGAATGGCACAGACCCAATGAATTGCATAGAACTTTCTAAACAGAAAATGCTCTGTTAACCTAAAAAACCTCTGAGTGCATTCAACTATTTGTCTTAACCTGGAGATAAGACAGTTCTTTTTAATGTTACTTTGTTCAAAAGTCAACTTTTCCCCCTTTGAATAGCCTGTGGTGATAATGTAATATAAAATGACATTGAAGTTTGGAAACCAAAATTGTAATAGTTCATGGCATGACCTTTCCCTCTCTTAACTAGCTGAGGCCACAACTGGAAGAAATTCAAGGGGCTGGATTTCTTAGAGGCCTGTGACCCCCTGATTTCCCAGGAAAACATATGAGAGGAGACACTAGATGGCAATGTTGCTTAGGAAATGAGAGGCATAAAAAGCCCTCAGATAATATCTACAACTTCATTACTAGTTTAACTGCTCACTATAAATTTGGACAATACCTTATATTGATAGTGAATAGTCAATATAAAAATCTAGAGTGTCAGAAAATTAATTTAGTAGGCAAGGATGCCATAACACCTGAAAAAGGATTTATGCATTTGATCCTCTGAAGGCTCAAAAACCAAATACTTCAGCTCAAGGGGCAAGAGGGGGAGGGGCATTTCTTTTCTCTTTTTTTTTGGTATTTTAAAATATCAGTCTAACGTCATCATTGTGTCAACCTAGAGTTCTTACCAAGATGCAATGCAATGGAATGTTTGGACATCAATTTGCCCTTACTGTTCTGGCAGAAGCCAGGGCTGCATCCCCAGCACCCACACTGTGACTCACAATTGCCTTACCAACCAGCTCCAGAGGATCTGACCCCATCTTCTGTCCTCCAAGATATCTGCACATACATGGTGAGCATGAACTCTGGAAGGCATATAGACAGAAAAGTACACGCATAGTCACTTGGCTTTAGTGTTACTTTTCTTGCCTTTCTGTATGAATGAGAACATGTGACATTTGTCTCTCTGGATCCAGGTTACCTACTCAGTTGACTGGTTCCATTCATTTACCTACAAATTTCACTTTTCTTTATAGCTGAGTAAATAGATAGGGTTTCATTATCCACTCATCAGTTGATGGACATTTAGGCTGTTTCCATGTTGCAGGTACTGTGAATAGAGTGGCAGTGAACACGGATGAGCATGTGTCTTTGCAGTAGGTTGTGGAGTCCTTTGCGTATTTGCCACTGGTTGAGCTGGGTCATACAGGAGATCTATTTCCAGTTTTCCCAAGGAGCCGTCACTCTGATTTCCATTGTGGCTGTACCAGTTTGCACTCCCATCAAGAGTGAAGAAGTGCTTCACCACTCCCTCCCCACCCTCACCCCCAGCCTCTGCAACACTTGTCTTTTGTTAATCTTAGCCAATCTGACCGAGGTAAGATGAAATCTAAAAGTAGTTTCTAAAAGCGTTCCCCTGACAGTTTAAAGATGATGAACATTTACAAAAATATCTCTTAGCCACTTGTATTTGTTCTTCTAACACCCTCTGTTCAGTTCCATGGCCTTTATTTTGGTTGGGTTGCTTTCTTAATGTTTCATGTTTTTATTTCTTTGTGTATTCTGGACACGACTTTTCTATCAGGTGTAGAGCTTGGCTTACACCAGCTGTAGTTTCCTACAGAAAACATATGCACAAGCCAGTCAAAATGGAGCATGGATAGGAGAGGGCTCCTGAGTCCTGCCAAAGAGATATTGACAGTTGGCAGCTTCTAGGGGAGGGAAAATCAGTTTTCCTTAGTGACTCTGGTAGATTAATCACACTCCAGTGAATGGCCCCACACCCATAAGTTTGAGTATGTGAGCAGCACAAACTAGACTCATAGATTTTTCTTTTTTTAAGACACACACTTGGGGTGGAGTGTGGAAAAAATGGAGACTAGATTTGGGAGGAGTTTTGGGAGGAGTCAGGGTAGGTAGAATCAAAATACTTTGCTTGGATAAACAAGTATTAATAAAAATGTTATATTAAAAAAGAAATCTTATTGAAATTGAAAAAAGCCCCCCCCCAATAAAACCCAAACAAATCCCTGCAAACCAAAGTGAAGTTGCCCTAACCAAGTTGCTTAGGTACACAGCTGATTTACACTGGGAACCAAGTTTCTTACTGAAGAGAATCTTCAGCCAAAGACAGAGAGAGAGTTGTAGTAGTGCTATTGCAACAGACCACCCTGTGAACAGTGCCCCCTGGAATTGCATAGCACCCAAAGCCTGCAGTGAACCTGGGTGCGAGGAGGAGGCTTTAGGACCAGTTTAAATGACATCTTCAAAGTTCTAGGAAAGCCTTATCTAAGAAGAGACTCCCCCTAATGCACCCCTACTCTCACATTCAAATTCTTCAAACTGGTCTTCTTCTTCCTCTTCCTCTTCCTCTTCCTCCTCCTCCTCCTC